GGCATGCCAGCACCCAGTGGGTACTAATAAGCTGGCCAGCGGCGCAGCCGCATTTGAAGAGAGTTTCACCCGTTGACAAGTCTCACACGTGCGCACATAGGTGCTCGTCCATTTGTACAGCTTGGGCCACTAATAGTGGTGAATCGCAGAGTTGTACGTTTTTCACGACCGAGATGACCACTGAGTAGCGTGTCGTGAGCCTCATAGAGGATGCAAAATCTGAAATCCTTATCATGAGGAACCACAATTCGTGGTGTATCCGTTGAATCGGTGCTATGATATAGCAAACAATTATTCAACGAATATCGGTGCATTCATGCACGCAGTCTTGATGACAATTTCTCGCCTGAGTCTCCAAACCCCTTGCTCCCTAGAGCTCGTAGCAATATTACACACATCTCATCACTTGCATACGCGGTGCGGATCGAATCCGTCACAGACAAAGTTACAGTTGTAACATGAGCAAGCTCATAGTCTGGTCTGCGTTACAACGCATCAGCCAAAGCATTCTGCTTCCCCGACTTATACTTTACCTCCAAGTTATATCTCGCAAAGAAGGATAGCAATCTAGCCATCCTCTGCGAGAGGTGGGGCGACTGAGTCGCAGTGCGTAATGACGCATGATTTGTGTCGATCACAATCGGCTTGGAGCCGAGCAGGTGGACCCTGAACTTGACAAGTGCATACTTCATCGCAAGCAGTTCCTTGTCATGAACTGGGTAGTTTTTCTCTGCAGCTTTGCGCTGTCGAGATTCGAACGCGATCACCCGATCGCGCCCCTCGGTGTCTGCTTATAGCAGTGCACAACCGATGGCAAAGTTTGAAGCGTCACAAACGACGCTAAAAGGACGATCGGGGTCTAGCAGCGCCAGCATTGTTGCATGCAGGAGGCTGTCTTTGAACCTGTCAAAAGCCTCCTGATGTTCGGTGTTCTATCACCATTCCGAATCCTTTTTAAGGAGACTGGATAATGGTCGGGCCATTCCTGCGTAGTTTACGCTGTACTTGTGCAAGAAATTGGCGAGACCAAGCCACTTACGCAGGTCGTTCTAGTTCTTGAAAGAGGCCAGTCTACAATGGTCTTGACCTTAGCGGAATCCGCTCGAAGGCCACGCATCCCAATTAAGCACCCTAAAAAGGGAATCTCTTCTGCGCCAAAGATGCACTTGTCTGCATTGGCGTGCAGTTTGTTCGTGCGCATGCACTCGAGCAGCGCTCTTAAATGGACGATGTGATTCTCCTTATCTTTCCTCCTGTGCTCCGCACGACAATGAACGAAAATGTCGTCAGAATATGTCTGTGCATACGCCCTGTGGGCCTGAACAACTGCGTCACAAGACGATTAAATGTTGCTGGTACATTTGACAGCCTTTAAAACATCACCAGCCACTCCCAGAGCATGCTGCTCGGAGTACTTACCGCTGTCACCGGAATATCACTCGCTCTCATGAGCAATTGGAAATACCCATCGACCAAGTCAAGTGCAATGTACTGCGTACATCCCACCATGTTGTTCTGAAGAACATATTTCCTAGGAATCGGCGCCTGTGCCGGAATGGTGGTAGCGTTGAGCTTATTAAGAGCATGAACGATACGCCACTTGCTGTCCGGCTTCCGAACACAAAACGTGGGTGTCGAATGGGGAGACTAGCTCTCACGTACCATCCTGCGTCGTGCTTCGCACGGAAAAAGGCGTCAATGACGTCGCACTGCTCCTTGGGCAGGGTCCATTGGCGTGTTACGCAGTATTTGGTTTCCGAAACCAGGTCGATCTCATGACGCACACCTCGGTCCGGAGGTAGGACCACAGGCGGGTCTTTGGAGACGACGTCTTGAAATTCCTTTACCAAAGGATAGTACGGATCCCAGGAATTTCGTAGGAGTGACGATTCACTTCGTGCGTTCACCACTTTCTTTGTGTCTTCCGAGACAGCTTCATCCGGAAGCGATGACGAGTTTATTTTCTCGTCCGGTCGTACAATGGCTGCTTCGGCCAAATCGCCTGCCTTCAAGGCACTGCCGAACTCTTCGAGGGACATCTCGTTCAGCTCATGAAAAGCATCTACTGCAGGCATAGCCTCGAGCCGGACGTCGCCATCTTCCTCCCCCGTCATACCGTTGACGAGG